CATGAGTTTGAGTCCCGTGTCGGACTCTGTGCTGACAGCTCAGAACCTGGAGCCTGCTTTGGAGTCTGTGTGTCTCTCTCTCGCTGCCCCTTCCCAGCTTGCGCTGTCTCTCAAAAGTAAATAAACATTAAAAAAATTAAAAAATATATTTATATATTTTTTTGTATATTCATATGTGTGTATACCCTTAATAGTATTATTTTGTATATTTAAAATGTTATGAATATCTTGTGCATTTTATCCTGCAAATGAATGTTTCACTCAATATTATGTTTTTGAGATCTAAACATGTGGTTACATATATATCTGGTTCATTCATCTGTTTTTTTTTTAATGTTTTTTTTTGAGAGAGAGAGAGAGTGAGAGAGCGAGAGAGAGAGAGAGAGAGAGAGAGAGCATGAGTGGGGGAGGGGCAGAGAGAGGGAGACGCAGAATCCAAAGCAGACACTAGGCTCTGAGCTGTCAGCACAGAGCCCGATGCAGGGCTCAAACTCACCGACTGAGAGGTCATGACATGAGCTGAAGTCAGTCGCTTAACTGACTGAGCCACCCAGGGCCCCAGTTCACTCGTCTTACCTGCTACATGGCATCCTGTATTCTGCGACTACCACAGCATATTGATTTCCATATTGCAAACGTTTCGACCTTTCTAGTTTCCTTTATAACAACTTCGAGGGAACGCCCTTGTGTTGAAAAGCCCAGTGTGTCCTTCTGTGTGTCTCCTTCACTTTTACACTGATACTCTACTCACACAGGATGTTTCACTTCCAGTCACCAAATGTGTGGTGGTTTTCCCACACCAAGGAGTTCTCTGTTACACCAGCTGGGTGTCCTACAATGTAACTCAATTCTGACACTGTCTACCTGGAGATAGGGTCAGATCCCACAGGGTAAGGGCTCCCAGAAGCCTGCCATCCCCACCCCCATGCCCATTGCCACTAGTTGGTCTGCAGGTCACCCACAACCTCTGTCTGACTTGGCTACAAAGCGGAGGTTCCCTCTCCTCAGTTTGACTAATTTGCTAGAGCGTCTCACAGAACTCAAGGAAACATGTTGACCAGTTTATTAAAAGGTGTGATAAAGGACACAGATGAACAGCCAGATGAAGAGATACACGGGGCGAGGTCTGGGAGGGTCCCAAGCTCAGGAGCTGGGGTGGGCACCCTCCTGGTGTGGATGTGTTCGCCACCCTGGAAGCTCTCTGAATGCCTGCTATCGGGATTTTACAGAGGTGTCTTCATGTAAGCACGATCAGTTACTAACTCCATTTCCAGCCCCGAGTCCCCTCTCTGGAGAATGGGGAGCAGTGTTGAAAATTCCAAGCTTCAAATGGAGGTTTGGTTGTTCTGGTGACCAGCCCCACCCAGGAGCCACCCAGAGCCGCCTGAGTAGAACAAAAGATGTTCCCAGTATTCTTACATAACACTTAGGAAATTACAAGGATTTTAGGAGCTCTGTGCCGGGAACCGGGGTTGGAGACCAATATATGTATTTTCTATTACCTCGCAATCCTTGAACAAGAATTTATCTACCAGCAGAATTCACATGTAGACTCTCAGTTATTCCTTGGGTAATTTGGGGGATGCTTCATAACCTCTCTGCTTTAGTTTCTTCATGTGTAACACAGAGCAATAAGTATACCTGATGGGTTGAAGGTTAAATGAGTTAATAGGTGTAGAGTGTTTAAAATAGTAACAGCACTTGGAAAACAGTGCATTTAGCTGTTGTTATAGTGGGTAGCGTGTGCATTTTAGACTTGACTCGATATTGCCAAGGTGGTTGTATCAATTTATATTCCCACCAACAGAGTGTGAGTATTCCTATTTTCTCCAGTCTTAGTTTTTGTTTTTGTTTTTTTTAAGTTTATTTATTTTTTGGGGCGCCTGGGTGGCTCCCAGTTGGTTAAGCAGCCAACTTTGGCTTAGGTCATGATCTCATGGTTTGTGAGTTCAGGCCCCACATCAGGCTCTGTGCTGACAGCTCAGAGCCAGGAGCCGGCTTCAGATTCTGTGTCTCCTCTCCCTCCGTCCCTTCCCTGCTCTCACTGTCTCTCTCTCTATCTCAAAAATAAACATTAAAAAAGAAATAAAATTCTTCATAAACATAATTTTTGAAAAAGCTTATTTATTTTGGGAGAGAGGGAGAGTGAGTACAAAAGAGAGAGCCTGCACGCGTGCAAGCAGGGGAGAAGCAGGGAGAGAATCCCGAGCAGGCTCTGCGATGTTAGTACAGAGCCCAATGTAGGGCTTGATCCCACAAACTGAGAAATCGTGACTTGAGTGAAAATCAAGACTGGGGTGCTTAACTGATGGAGCCACCCAGACACCCCTAGTCTTACTAACTTTTGATCCTATGTCACATGTCTGCCAACCAGATGTGTGCGGAATGGTTTTGCGTTTCAATCCGTATATGCTGCTGGACAGCCTGACCATCTGTTCAACCTGACCATCTGTTCACGTTTGTTGGCCACCCAGGTGTCCCTTTTCTGTGAATTGCCTATACTAGTCTTTGCCTGTTTTTCTGTTGGATGCTCTTTTTCTTACTGATTTGTAAGTATTATATATGCACACACATGCACATATAGTATAAATATGAATCCTTTCCTTGTTAGGTATGTTACACTTAACTTCTCCCAGACTGTGGCGTATCTTTTTTTTTTTTTCCTTTGGTGTCTTTGTTTGATATAACAGATTGTTTTTTATTTTATTTTTAATTTTTAAATTTTTAGAGAGAATGAACTCAGGGGCACACACTAGTTGGGGGGGGCACAGGAAGAGGGAGAGAATCCTAATAAGCAGACTCCACCCCCAGTGCAGAGCCCCGCGGGGTCTCCGTCCCATTGACCATGAGATCATGACCTGAGCCGATGCTCAGCCGACTGCAGTTTGTGCTTTAGACTGTTTTATTGAGCTACAATCCACATACCATTCAGTTCTCTCATTTAAAGTGTCTAATTCATTGGGTTTTGGTGTATTACATTACTAACTCTTTAAAGTTGTGGTAACACATATATATATAGTATATAAAACATACAGTTTGCCATTTGAATCATTTCTCAGCGTACAGTTCAGGGGCAGTCAGTACATTCGCAGTGTTGTACAGCCTGCATCTGGTGTAGCGCCTTCTGTCTTGGATTCAGGCCACGTTATCAGTCCTTCTGACTGATGCGCAAAGCTATTCTCCTATCCTGTGTTTTCATCTCATTTTTTTTAAGGTTTTGTTTTTATTCTCGTGCTTTTCATCTACCTGAGTTTTTCTATGTTTGAGTCTGTTTCTGGGCTGCCATTTTTTTCCATTCATTCATTTGTCTATTTCCACCCAGCACCCCTGCTACTTTAGTTACTATAGCAACTTTTACCCAGTTCCTCTTCAAGTCTCGGCTCTGGACTTTTGTTTCACCTGGAGTTTATTTCTTAAAAAAAATTTTAATCTTTATTTTTGAGAGAGAGAGACAGAGGAACAGCGTGAGTGGGGAAGAGGCAGAGAGAAAGGGAGACACAGAATCCGAAGCAGGTTCCAGGCTCTGAGCTGTCAGCACAGAGCCTGATTCAGGGCTCAAACCCACGAACCGTGAGATCATGACCTGAGCCAAAGTCGGACGCTGAACCAACTGAGCCACCCAGGTGCTCCATTTTCCAAACATTTATAAAGAGATTATAGAATGTCCCACTAACTGCTGACAGGCCAACAGCGGTCCCCTTTGACCTCAGTCACACTTGTTCCTGGTATGAGGAGCTCTGAAATCTCTTGCTGGTTCCACTGGGCTCTTAGTCCCTTCTGCTCTGCTGAGTGGAACTTTCTGGATCATCACCTCTGAGCGGCTCTTCCACTCAGGCTGGGGAGCTCCTGGTGTGGAAATATTTTTTTTTTTCCCTGTCAGCCTGGGCTAGAGGGTCCCACCGGTGTTCTGGCTCCTCCTTTTCCCCAGAGGACTTCTCCAATCAGGTCCGTGCTCAGCTCTCCATGGAAATGCTGTGGTGTGGATACGGGAACTGAGTGGAAGTGCCTGCTAGGAGGACTTGGGGAGGGGTCAGTGTGGGTGGGGGCAGGCCCGGAGGGAAGGGAGAGGAGGGGAGGGGAAGCAGAGAGACTGGAGAGAAAGTACCAGGAGGCGAACACCTGTCTCAACTAATGCTATAAACAACACCAGATTCCTGCCTTTTGTCTTTAAAAATTGCATGACCTACCAGAATCCTGCAAGCTACTGTCATCGATAGGAAACGATAGGAAAAATGCTCTGTGGTCAACAGGTTAGACCTCCCGGCCTGAGGCTGGCAAGATGGATGAAGAGAGCGCAACGGGATGGTTGGGTGCAGAGGAGGCAGAGGTGGTGGTAACTGAGCTGAGTGTCAGGATGAATGGGAAGCCAGAGGAGGGTGGAGGAGGTGGGCTTGTGAGCGGGACAGCTTGTGCCCCTCTGACCCAGAGGCATAAGTGTGGTAGGGCTCAAGGCCACGGTGAAACCAATACTGATGAGTCATTTTCCTAAGTCTGTGGGACTCTGTACTGTGCGTCCAGTGTCTTGTTAATGGGGCTCTTGATGAGCGGTTTCTTCAGGGGAAGTCTTGTCTGCCCTATTTAAGGGCAAGGCCTGGGACTTGGTGGCTCTGATCGTTCATCCTTTTTTTTTTTTTTTTAATTTTTTTTTTTTTTTTTTTTTTTTTTTTTTTTTAATGTTTTTTTTTATTTCTAGGAGAGAGAGAGAGACAGCGCGAGCAGGGGAGGGTCAGAGAGAGAGGGAGTCACAGATTGAAACAGGCTCCAGCCTCTGAGCCGGCAGCCAGCCCAGAGCCCGACGCGGGGCTCGAACCCATGAACCGCGAGATCATGACCTAAGTGAAAGTCGGACGCTTAACCGACTAAGCCACCCAGGCGCCCCTGATCGTTCATCCTTTTGAAGTCTCTCTGTGCACGGTCCCCGAGGCGCGAGGGCATGCCCCCAGCGTGCTGACGGACCTGCAGCTTTGTCACCTTCATTCATTCCTCCTTCTTCCTTGCAGCCTGGTGCAAGCAGAATACTGGCACGACCCCATAAAGGAGGACATGTACCGCAACCACAGCATCTTCTTGGCAGATATTAATCAGGAGAGAGTAAGCACCCATCCCAGGCTTCCCTGGCTGTGCATTCATTTCGTTTCTGGGGCATTATGAACAGATCAGCTGTGACTGTTTACCCGAAATATCCTGCGCAGAACCTTCTGGGAAACAGAAGTTCTGGTTTTTTTTGGGAGGCAGTGCTTCTGAACTTCGTTTCCTTGTAGGAAGGCTGAAATTCTTTCGGCTTTCTCCCCGTAGGTCCTTTTCCTTTCGTTCTGTTGAAGGAGAGGGTAAGCTCGGTAAGTTGCGGGCTGGCTTAAGTCGAACTGCACAGCCGCTGTCCTACTGAGGGAAGTCTTCCTAGTGGGGCCCTTTGGGGTCAGATCTTCTCAGAAGTGAGATTTACTTAGAAGAGAGACTGCAGAGGGGACTGAGTGTGTCCCAGGCACGAGCTTGGTTTGCGAGATTCTGGTAAACTACATGGCTGTTTATATCGGGCTTCTCTGGAAATTTTTGCTTAATTTTTTTTAATGTTTTTATTTCTGAGAGAGAGAGAGAGACAGCATGAGCAGGGGAGGGTTGGAGAGAGAGGGAGACACAGAATCTGAAGCAGGCTCCAGGCTCTGAGCTAGTTGCCAGCACAGAGCCTGATGCAGGGCTCGAACCCACGAACCGTGAGATCATGACCTGAGCTGAAGTGGACGCTTAACCGACTGAACCACCCAGACGCCCCTGGTTAATTTTTTTTCTTATTTGAGAGAGAGAGCACGTGTACATGGGAGCAGGGGGAGGGGCAGAGGGAAAGAGGGAGAATCTTAAGCAGGCTCTGTGTTCAGCATGGAGACTATAACCTAAGCTGAAAGCAAGAGTCCGATGCTCAACCCACTGAGCCACCCAGGTCCCCATTCTTGGTTTTTTTATTTTAAAATTCTTATTTTTGAGAGGGTGTTATGCTGAGCGAAATAAGTCAGGCAGAGAAGGACAAATACCATATGTTTGCACGTATAGGAGGATTAGGAGGAACTTGACGGAGGACCAAGGGGGAGAAGAAGGGCGGAAATGGTGGGGGAAAGGGAGAGAGGCAAACCATGAGAGACTCTTGAATGCTGACAAAAACTGAGGACTGATGGATGTGGGGGGGAGGGGGGGATGGGCATGAAGGAGGGCACTTTGGGGATGAGCACTGAGTGTTATGTAAAAACTAATTTGACAATAAACTATTTGTAAAAAAAAATAAATAAATAAAAAAAATAAAATTCTTATTTTTGAGAGAGAGGCAGAACACGAGCAGGGGAGGGGCAGAGGGAGAGGGAAATAGAATCCGAAGCAGGCTCCAGGCTCTGAGCTGTCAGCAGTCAGAGCCCAACGTGGGGCTGGAGCCCACAAACCAGGAGATCATTATCTGAGCTGAAGTCAGATGCTCAACAGACTGAGCCACCCAGGTGCCCCTGGTTTTTGTTTTCTTAAACAAAATTTGAAGGGCAGTGGAGGAGAAACAGAATAGGATAGCAGAGCCACTAAGAATGTGGAGTTTCTCATTTGGCCTTGGCTTCTTCTGGGTAGTAGCCTTTAACCTATGTGACGGATGGCTATGGAATGCAGTGACAGACTCATGGCGGCCAGCATCTGTGTGCTGTGGTTCGTTGGGGTGTTGTCAGTCAGATAGAACGGTAAGAAAAGGCTGTACAAGGTGTATTCTGGGCAGGAAGCTGGAGAAGCAGCCCATATCATGGAGAAGAAATAACGGTGGCACCGGGCCCGGGAGACCTGAGCACTGATAGGCTTTAACATCCCTGCCGGAACCCGATGATGTCCCTGAAGTACTGCTGGCCTCTCCTCCAGGGTGTCAATGAGTCCTACAGGAAGAACCTGATGGCCTTGAAGAAGTTTGTGATGGTGAAATTCCTGAACGATTCCATTGTGGACCCTGTGGATTCCGAGGTGAGACGCTGTGTAGGCATGCCAAAGCATGCCAGACCGAAAGAGTAACCGAAAGAGTAAATGGCATTAAAAAACAGTTGCCTGCTGGGGGAAAACCAGTCTCTTTCCACCACCTCTTGTGTAGAGTAGGGCGTCGTGTGTAGAACTGGGACAGTGGGGGCTGCACCCGAAATTATTTGCAAACTTATGAAGTACTGTTCTCTGAGGAAGAGTCTAATGCTTTTACCACATTTTCCAAGAGACCTGTGTCCCAAACCACCAGCCCAAAGTCTATAAATCCCTGAGAATGGCATTCAAGGTCTGCCTTGACCTGTCTTTTCAACCCAGTCTTCATTACCCATACACTAGAATCAAGCCATCTTGTACTTCTTGAAATGACCCAGAGGTGGCATGTGTTTTGTGTCTTAATTTTTTTTAATGTTTATTCTTTTTGAGAGAGAGACAGAGGACCAGCAGGAAAGGGACAGAGAGAGACAGACACAGAATCCAAAACAGGTTCCAGGCTCTGAGCTGTCAGCACAAAGCCTGATGCGGGGCTCAAACTCACGAACCATGAACTCATGACCTGAGCTGAAGTCGGACACTCAACCGACTGAGCAACCCAAACACCCCGGCATGTGTTTCTTTTACGTGCCTTTGTGCATGCTTTTCAGTCTCTAGAGTTCCTTCCCTGGGCTTCTCCACCTGACAAGCTCCTGTTCATCTATCAAGCCAAGCTCAAGTGTCTCATCTTCGATCCAGGATACCATCCCTATTCCAAGTAGAATTTGCTCCCTCTTTTGCAGAGTCATCACATTATGCCAGGCCACCAGGGACTAGCAAACTACAGGCTGCTGGCCAAATCCAGCCTGCCATCTGCTTTTGTATGGCCATGAACCAGTTTTTAATGGTTGGGGGGAAAAAAACCAACCAAAAGAATATTTGACAACATAAAGATTATATGAATTCATATTTCAGTGTCCATAACTTTTATTGGAATATAGCCATGTTCAGTTTTAATTTTCTTTCTTTCTTTCCTTTTTTTTTTTCTTTTTCTTCCTTCGCCATATTCCTTTTTAAAGTATTGTCAGTGGCTGCTTTTGTTTACAATGGCAGCATTGGGTAGTTGCAACTCATGTGGCCCTTAAAGCCTCAAATACTTCGTATCTGGCCTTTACAGCAAAGTTGCTGGTCCTCAACAGTTGTTTCTGTGCCTCTGTGTCTGTTGAAGACAGGGACCATATATAGATCTTCGGGTGTGGAATTTAGCACAAGGATTTTCACAGCATCGGTGCTCCATAATTGTAGGAAACAGCACTTCCAGAGAATTAGAAAGTTCTTTGGAAAGATGCACTCCTCCCTCAGGATCCACCCTTACAAGGGGATGACTCAAGACATACTCTATTTTTATTCTTTGCTACAACTTTGTGATACTGTTTGTTGGTATCTTAGCTCCTCACCAGTCTTAGTCTGACAGTGTGTGCTGTGTGTCTGATCTGCCCTTTCTTCCTCCTCCTGCAGTGGTTTGGATTTTACAGAAGCGGCCAAGCCAAGGAGACCATTCCCTTGCAGGAGACCACTCTGTACACACAGGTAACTGGGGAGGAGAAAGGTGCTGTTTTTCAGCTCCTTGTTCCTGAAGCTGCTGGTTTCTTCGGTGATAGACCCAGTCCTGTACACCTGCGAGCCATGGATGCTCGGAAGCGCCTGACTGGTATCTGATCCAAGTGAGGCTTATTAGGGTGCTGGTTACACCAGCTTATCAGGCGCTGGTTTACAGAAATGCAGATCCCGAAGGATGAAGGACCTATACCCTCGTGGTTTTCAAGTACACACAAGGGTCCCATCATCCTTCCTTCTGATAAAAGCTGAGAAGTGGCTTCCTTTGCTGATGTGTGGGTGCAAATCCAAGAAGCCCCCGTGCACCATGAACACACAGGAGAGGTGTTACTTTAAAACATGAACAGGTGTGAAGTCCTGTTTTGAAATTGAGGGCAGTGATGAGGGGTGCTCCCGTAGGAGCCGCAGGAAGTGTAGTAGGCTGTTTCTCAAGCAGAGGTCACACCTTTTCATGACCTCTAGCTCTGGAGCCTTCCACGCCGTTAGGGATTTCATTGGAGATGGACTCCCCCAAAAGGCACAGGTGCTGTCTGCACTGCTTGCCTTCAGAGGCCAGTGGTCTCCTGTCTTTGCTTTTCTCCTACATCTGGTACCCCAGCTTGGGTGAGATCAAAGGAAAGGAAAGCTGGGGTCTGTGGAGCCTTGGAAATGACAACTAAGAACTTCCCTATCGTGAAAGCCAAACCGATGGTAGCTACAACACTCTGGCACCGACGGCCGCCCGTGCTCCCAACCGTGCTTGTTCTGTGGCACTGCGGGTACTGCTGTCTACAACTGCAGGCTAGGAAAGCGCCTTGGGGTTTGTTATTGAAGGGCTGGCTGCGTTTTAAGTTCATGTTTTCCTGTCTTTGGCTCAGTCTCACTTAACTATTTTGAGGCGGTTTTGTGCGTGGCTTGCCCACCCACAGAGGTGGTCCTCCAGAAGCTTTAGGAAACTACAGAAACAGAATATAGAGCTCTAGACAAGAGTCTCCATTACATGTATGTTTTGAATGCTTAGGAACAAAACTGGAAGGAGGTATCCCTTTTTGGCATTTTCGACAATACACCTAAATTTTGCTACTCAGGGAAGAGACTGCATTTTGAGGATTTATCTCAAGTGAACATTCCTTCTTTACTGTTTTAACTGTTGACTTTTCATTTGGCCTCTTGACGGATTATGGCCTTTCTCTCTGCAGGACCGCCTGGGGCTAAAGAAAATGGACGATGCTGGCCAGCTAGTGTTCCTGGCTGTAGAAGGGGACCATCTTCAACTGTCTGAAGAATGGTTTTATGCCCACATCATACCTTTCCTTGAGTGAAACCCTTGTAGTTTGCACCAGAGCTCAGGGAGCCCCAGGCGCTTTGAACCAGTGGGAGACTTGCCTAAGCCTGAGCTCACATCCAGCTTGTAACTAATCCTTCCCTCTGCTTATCACCTAACATGCCCTGTGCAGCAAGATCTAAGATTCCAATCTTATCCTTTGCCTCATCCTATCAGCGTAGCCTCACCACATCAGCGTACGGTGTTGAATGCAAGTTTAATTAGTTAATAACCACGCATGGAGATTATTTTACAACCCCTTGATGTGGTCAGGCTGTCTTAGGAAACAGAGTCTGCTGCAGATCAGTGACAGAATTGTGCCCAGGCCCAGAAGAGGCTGAAACGAAAGCAGTTAGAGTCTAAGCGCAGACACCGTATTCGGGACAGCCTAGCCACTTTTCAAGCCAAGAGGCGGCCAGGAGCCAGGCCTGAGGTGACCATAAATGCTTTCTCAATTTTGCTGGCGACTCAACCAGCGCTTGTTAAAGTATCGCTTAGATAATGTTTCTGTGTAATTTCTTGAGGCTACCCTCCTTTCTCAGTGTATTTTCCTGTGGAGTCTTGGCATTTGATCTGTTCTGCTAGGCCGCCATCTGGTCTCAGCAGCCCTCTTTTTGTCCCCTCAGGCAGTGATGAATTAGTTGCTCTGTCACAAAAGGAGGGAAGTGGCACCCAACTGGATTACTTAAGGGAGGGGCACCCAACTGGATTACTTAAGGGAGGGGTGTGGGCGTACATCTTGCTTAACTTAGGGGAGTGAAAAAATTGTACAAGCGGATATACCACTGTATGTCAACGATACTTGAATTTAAGAAACAAATGTACAAGTAGAAATGAAAAATGACAAGGCAGCTGGTTCTTTCCATCCCATTCTTGATTAACGTGTCCTTTCTCAGTATGACCAGTGGTCTGGCGTCGAGAGAGAATCTGTTCCTGGTGTTAGACAACGGGAGGAAGAATGTGAAGAGATCAGACTAACTCCCATCTAAGGAAATGGCACTTATCAGTAACACTCCAAACTATTTCTGATGTATTTGATGAAAAAAAGGATGATCTGCTGAAAAAGTTTGGGGAACATTGTATACGCCTTTTCTCCCGTTGAAGACCAATTCACATCAGAATACTAATGACTGAGAATTCCTGTTTAACCTTAATCTACTGTTTCCCACACAGAGTATGGACATCTTAGCCCCCCGCCCCCCCACCGGAGAAAACCTATCAGCACTTCCTGGAAGACTGTTCTTCAGAATGCCAATTTGGGATACTATAGCTATGCAGGAGGGAAGCACCTTGTTAGTGCTGCCAACTTTACCCTGTAGGACTTTCCCCTCACCTTTCTCAAGGCTTATTTCTTGACTAAAAGATGAGGATTAAGGGTAACAAGTGGGGGGATATGAAAAAAGTTTTATGACACTGTCTAAAATAAAGAATAGTTTCTTATCCTTGGTGTCCTTATATTCCTTACATACAGCTCGGCACCTGACTGACTCAGTCAGAGCACATGACTCTTGATCTAGGGGTTGTGAGTTTTGAGCCCCATGGGGGTAGAGTTTACTTCAAAAAAAAGTATTAGAGGGGCACATGGGTGGCTTAGTCAGTTAAGCATTCAACTTCGGCTCAGGTCATGATCTCACGGTTTGTGGGTTCGAGCCCCGCATTGGGATCTGTGCTGACAGCTCAGAGCCTGGAGCCTGCTTCGGATTCTGTGTCTCCCTCTCTCTGCCCCTCCCCTGCTTGCAGTCTGTCTCTCTCTCAAAAAATAAACAAAAAATTTAAAAAAAAAGTATCTCTATACAGCAGACACCGTCGGTAAATAGTAAGCAAGTTTGGTATTAATTTTATTCTATTTTCTGTATAACTTTAAGTACATAAAGGTTTATTTCCACAGGCCTCAGGAAATGGGTAGAAGTCACAGGACAATCTCTCTTCCCACCAAAAAAGTTGCATGTTTTGGTTAAGTGTCCTAGAGAGAAAAACTGTAATTTACATTAGCAATGCTGGGCACGATTCTTACACAAGACCTAACACCAGGCTGCGGGGCAGATTTGAGTCCTTTGTTCAGGTGCCCGGACAGAAACCAAAAGCAGTTGGGCGTGACAGGGCAAAGGTGAAGATGGAGGGCAGGCACCTAGCATGGAAGGAGGAAGGAATTCCAGATTCCTTGGAATGGTGTATTTTCCTTTTGTTTGTTTGTTTAAGTCACCTCTGTAGGAAGGTGCTGGGCAGGGATCCCAGTGAAAGAAAGGGTCCAAGACTCCTTTACCTGGCCTGGGTGCAGGGCTCTGCCCAGCAGCTGATACAGGAGAACCTGCTCGCTCAGGTTCCGGCAGACCCTCGATGGAATGCAGAATAAAAGGAATGCTGATAGGAATCAATTTTGCTTGGAATTCTATAAGGCCAAGCTTCAGCCTTTGGTCCCGTGAGACCCCTGCCTCCCCTGTCAACAGTGAAAAATCAGTTTGGTTAGAAGAACCAGCTAGAATCACAGCAGCCTCCGCTACCTTCGTGTGCACTGTTAGAAAAAGATGAACCTGTGTGACCATTCTGATCTGTTAGTTCCTGGGGACCGCTTTACTCTTCCCAAAAGACTGTTTGTTGGTCAAATAACCCCCAAAGGCCGAAGGCTAAAACACACCAGTCCTGGTGTGCAGTTCCGGAAGGATGGACTGGTGGTGTGGTGGGGCGGACATGGAAAGGCCGCACCTTCCTGCAGAAAGAAGATCAACCGACCTGCTCTCCCACCCAAATCTCAGCCTGAGGTATATTTCAGTGAAGGCAGGTAGCTGTGCTTCTCAGAGCAGAGAAGCATGTTAAGAGCAGAAAGGTAGAGGAAATCTAGAAAAGAACCGTCTTGATACAGATTTATCCCATGGTGTGAGGGAGAGGGCAAAGAACCCAGTGGCACTTCGCTTATCCAGCAATTTCTGTCACTGTGGTGACCAACTTCTGCCCGTTCCATAGGGTCTTGAACTGCTCAGGGACTGGGAATTCATTCTGCAAATTAAAAAATGGGTTTTAGTCCAAGTCCAGGCTACAAAAGAAGCTGGGGTTAAAGCCTACACTTTCTCTCAATGCTTGCTTCCACTAAACTCTTAGAGCCAGTAGGATGTCCTGAGAGTAAAGTGAACCGCCAGTAGCCAGCCTGGCTCTGCGGCCAGCAGCACCACATCTGCGACCGGCCACCCCCGCCACCGCCGACCCGAAGGAGCGGGGTAGGAATGAGAACAAAGGCTCCAAAGCCAGACAGAGGTTTGGGTCTGTTTCCTACTGTTCCTGGATCAGCAGTCTTGGAAGGTACACCTGTGAGGCACAGTGAGCATGTACACCACTTCACAGCGCCCGTCCAATAGGGGGCAATGACTCACTCCCAATCCTTTTTACCACCCTGAGCATGTGCTCGACCTAGAGCTCTATTTTGTGAGTGCCACTTCGTGAGCACTTATGGGTGCTCGAGGTGTGTATTGCCAGGTTGGACCCACTCAGTACAGAATGACCATGAACTAGCTTTCTCCAGTGCAAGTAATCTTCAATCCCTCCTGTTCTGAGATCATACGACCAAAGAGATCAAGGAACTTACAAAGTCACCGCCTTCTGTAGGAATGAGGACATTCATCTCAGAAGATTTGGCACTGACTATCTCACAATCCAGGGAATTCTTGCTCAGGTAAACGTGGCAGCCATCTGTTTTGTTGATGGAAATGGTTGGCACTTTACCCATTACCTGCAGGGAAAACCAAAAATGCTGAGTCCCGGTAGCTGAGGAGAAGCACAGTTAAGATTCGGGAAGAAGCTTGCATTGCTTCATGTGATTCAGCAACTAAGTGAAAAGCTCACAAGTACACAGCAGATACCGGATACTAGAGGTGGGTTGGGATGGGTGCTGGAAAAGGGCTCGCTCTAAGAGCCAGCTCCTCTCCTGCCACCAAGGCAGCTCAGCTTACAGAATCAGTAGAATCAGATTCCCACCACAGCAACATCTGTGGCTCAGCCATGTCTTTCAGTTAATTCCTCAGGGACCAAAGGAAGGAGTCAAGATATCAAGTTACCTGAACTTTGACATCCCTACTATTGATGATCTCCACAATGCCCACCACATCATCGAACACCAGACCGAGCTTCTTACAGTTATCTAGGGGAAGAAAGGGAGCAGGTCAACAGTCTAACTTTTAATTTAAGGGTCTTTGGGAATTAGGTTGATACAGTTCCAGCTCCCTCAGGCTCTAGGACGGAGCCTAGACAATGACAAAAACTCACCTACTGTAATGGAGTTAATTTTGCCCTTGATTTGCAATGTTGTGTTGACACACTTGTATATGTAAGCCACCTGTTTCAGCTCTGTGTCATCAATCACCAGGTTGGAAACATTCTCCTGATTTTCCTGTTAAAGAGATACCCCTTTCAGGAATGTCATCACTAATACACACTACCCCCAAACACAGGCCATCCCAAACGTTCGTTCCTGTTAACCCAAAACCTTGCACTCATTTGGCTATGCTCCATTTAACGCCCCTGTTCACAGTCCTGATATATATATATTTTTTAATATTTTTATTTATTTCTAGGAGAGAGAGAGAGAGACAGCGTGAGCAGGGGAGGGTCAGAGGGAGAGGGAGATACAGACTCTGAAACAGGCTCCAGGCTCTGAGCTGGCAGTCAGCACAGAGCCCGACGCGGGGCTTGAACCCACGAACCGCGAGATCATGACCTAAGGGAAAGTCGAAAGTCGGACGCTTAACCGACTAAGCCACCCAGGCGCCTCTCAGTCCTGATATTTTTAACTCACCACTCTCCACTTCTTGCCCTCCAGCTCAAGTACAGCTGGCTCCTTCTTTGTGGCTGGTTTGGGGGACGGGCTGACTCCTGGTTTAGGTGCAGAGAATGGCTTGGGGCCACTTCGTACTGGACCACTCTGAGCCTTCAGGGCAGGGTTCTTGTGAGTCTTCATGTCATCAGATACATGTTTCAGGGCTGCAAGAACAACAGCTGCCTCGTGCCCGTCCTTCATACTACAGCTTTGAGCTGAGGCAGGAACCAACTTCTGCTCTCAGAAGTTAACTGCCGTAACAAAAACTTGAAGGTCAAAAGCCGGGACTTTGAGATGTTCTCTTAAACAATGGTTTTGGAGAAGCGCTTTTAGAATTTCCCTTCTACCCCAAAGTACCCAAATACAGTTCCATTATAAAAAAAATAAAACACAGACTATGTGCATATGGGAGGAATGGCTATGTAAATGCACAGGAAAAGATCTAGAAAGACATGTACCAAATATATATTCACAAAATATATACAGT